AACGAGCTATGTTTCCGTGACAACGATTGTCGAACAACCGCTGCTCGGATAGGCCAAGTCTCACAGCCATACAACAAAACAGCCCGCACTGTAGCTTGATACACACGTCCCTTCAGATTCAGGGATAAACCATTCTGACGCCATAGATGTCTCAAATTAGCAAACGCGGCCAGAGCCTCGAAGATTCCTGCATTCACCTCATCTATCACACTAAAATCAGATTTAATACAACTTCCAAGATATGAAAAACGCGCCCCAACCTCCGATACCTCTCGCTGGATTATGACTGGCTTGATCAGGTGCTGCCAGTCCCACCCATGACCCTCAAACTTTGTGACCGCAAAGTGCATACCAAAGGACGGGATGACTTTGGTCAGTTCATCCATGAATGCTTGCGCCTTTTCCCTCTCTTCGAACATGAGAACGATGTCGTCTGCATATTCCAGATCGACAAGGTTTTCTGCACAGGCTATCTGAACACCAGGATTTTGGAGACCCTCCAGCGTTCGGCTCATTATTTCATCGATCACAAAGTTAAAAAGGAGTGGAGAGAGTGGGCATCCCTGACGGATACCGTTTTGTGTACGGCAGCTTTTGGAGAGCTCTCCGTACACTCACGTCCGGAGTTCTGAAAATACAAAGTACATATTATGTTTGAAAACTTCCGGGGCATTGCTTGGTGGGCAAGTGTCTCAAGAATAACAGACCGATCAAACGAGTCGAATGCGCCCGGAAATCCAGGATTACTAGAACTGTGGGTCGCTTATACGTATGCCGTTGTTCTAGCACCTAACGCAGTGTGAAGATTTGGTCAACGCAACCTCCACAAGGCCGGAATCCTGCTGTTGCTCTCGAATCAGTTTCTTACGGGCCACCGCGTCGCGACGAATAAAAATCGACGCCAACAGTCTCGTCACAACCGGGGTCAAGCCGATGCCCTTGCATTTACCACACTCACTACGCGTCCCTTTTTTTGAAAACGGGCACTATCACGGATTCATCCAGTTGTCTGGGACAGATTCCGTTCTCCAAATGCAAGCAAACAGATCAGACAAGCAATGACTGAGGACTTAACTCCCGTCTTTGAACAGTGCAGATGGAAGGTCATCCGGACCGGGAGCTCGGTGTCACCTGAGAGAACATATGCAGTCGTAGACCTCCGAGGCCGTAGGTGGTTCCACATTCACCGCCTAGGGTATTAATTTACCTGTGGGTTCTAGATGACTGCCGGCTGGTGGCCGCGACAGTTGTTCGAATTATTCGGCCCACCGGTCGAGGCGTTCTTCCTTATTCGAGATGGTCGTTTCATGCTGATGGTTTCACTAACTGGTGGTTTCCAGGGCCCGATCGCACGGATTAACTCAAATAATTCCGGGCATTTACCGGCTTTCTAGGCCTTTTCCATTTCTTTGGCTTTCTGTGTCCACCATACTTCACGGTCGGATCGCAAGCTCACTTTCACTTGACGTCTGATAGCTCTTGGCATCGGCTTATGTTGGGGCCCGGCTGGGACATTTCTTCGAGATTTAAGTTGTGCCACCGTTCGTCTGATATCCAGTGCTTTAGGTGCGCCTGGTTGGGTCGTGTCACAGGCGAAATTCCCAGCACTATGCAAAGAGATGGCAATCTCCTCCCAGTATGAGTCCACATCTGATGGTGGAGCACTTGGAAGAGACTCTCGAAAATGATTCCAGTAAGTTCGTCTGACATCCGGATCTTCCAGCCTTTCAGTTGCCAGGCTATTCGTCCGCAGCTTACGCGGCCCCGGGAAACGTAGGGGAAGGAAACCCCGGACGAGCGCAGGGCCAGAGTCCATAAATTTGTTCCAAAACGAGCTGTAGTCAGGTATTGATCCGTTCCAACAGTAACTAATGGCAATGTGGTATATTTGAGTTTGTGGCCGGCCCGCCGTTGAAAGACACCAAGTGGCCATGCGATTTCGGTCATTTCGGGAGGCCTTACTGCATAAAAACAGCCTGAGATCAGCACACAGCTGAAGCAATCGTTCCCCATTGCCCGTACGTACCGAGTCCAGTACATATCGACCTCCCAATTGAGTCTCGGATGTACTAAGCCTGCTCACTTGCACAATTATATCTTCGGCAACCACCACAACGTCTGAGCTTTTAGTTCGCCGGAGTAGGGCGTTCGGGGCGTCATAAAACCTGTCTTTGACGGCGTCGGAGTTACAGTCAGTTGGGGCGTAGATGGACACGATAACCAGACTTCTATCAACTTGCCGGCTGTGAGACTACCTCACAGACGTTGTCAGACGAACCGCACAGAGGCGACTATCAACAGGTATCCAGTCAAGTAAGGATACTTCCGCCCGGTGACTAAGCACAATACCAACCCCTGCATATCCTACCGCAGCAGCCTCTGGATCATCAGAGGTGCGCAGCCGAAAGCGAGTGGAGACTGACGGGGCGGTTAACTCAATCACTATGCTTGCATCTTGAATTCCCGTTTCTGAGACACAGCACACATCAATGCCAAGCGAGTCCAGTGTGAGTGCAAGAGCAGCTTGTTGTCCTGCTTGCTTCAGAGTGCGGACATTGAACGCGGCAAGATAGACTGGGTATCGAGGCTTGAAGACTGAGTTGGAGATTCCTGCAGATGTCGGCACCATGTGACGAGCAGATGGTGCACGCAAAACCGATGCATGACGAACGAAGTCATCAGTCCTTAGTGCTGGACCTACAAGGAGAGAAGTATTAATGGGGTGAGGAGAGATGGAAGAAAAATTATGTGAAAGAGCAAGAAGGGAGGCTGCAGGCGTGATCTGTTTTCGATTTCTTGCTCTGCTGTATGCAGCAAGTAAGGCGATTAGGCTGATGGCACCACGTGACGGCCGATGTAGTATGATTTTATTTGCGTATATGCAGTTCATGTTAGTACGTGGACTGGGGTGCTGCCGAGGCGCCCACACCCACACAGGGGACGATTAGGGTCCTCAACCGAAGCCTAGCCGCAAGGCAGCAATATTTGCCGGGAAATTCAAATGCATTACCAACTCTACGGAACAAGTTGCCACATGTTCCAACCCTATAACCTGGAAGGCCAGGAGACTGTGTTCCTCAGACCTCTAACCATTGCCCTACCTGGTATGAGAGACTCTGTGGGTTTTGCGGGACGCTCCCCAGTATAGCTCAATGGATCGCTGGATGCGCAAACCATCACAACACGGCAAGATTTAGTCTCTTCGTGACGGTACTACCATGTAACGCTCAGGTAGATTGGGCGGTGAGTCCCCGCAATTCCCTCAAAATGTTGGATTGTACCGGGCAGTCTATTCTGGGCTGGACGTACATCGAAAGACATCTCAGTCAACTACATTCACGCCGGTAAACAACAAGAGGGGCCCGATGTTCCAATGTTGAGATCAACCGTCCCGACGCCACGGAAAGCTCCATGGAATAAGTGCTGTCCGTGAAGTGTTGAATATTACATAGTATGGTTACTAATCCTGCATTTGACATCCTCGTTTGGGGTTTAGGCTAAGTGGGTGAACACCAAGGAAGAAATAGCTGCTGCTTGATGGTTGTGATTTATGAGACCTGGTCACTTCGCTTCATCCTAATCAGTGGTTGATGTTTCTAAGGGTTAGAATGAGACCTGCAGACACTCGGTGTCCACACTTCCAACAGTCACTCAAAAAATCCGGGTAGCAAATGACGTAACGAACGCAACCGACATCACCTAGATATTATATACTGCACTATCATCAGTCGACCAAGAAGAGAGTCAAATAAATCCATTCCTGGATGACGAACAGCATCAAGATAACCCAAACTTATCAAAGCACCTTTTGTTCCTCTTTACCATGTCGAATTCTGTCCATTTTCATGTTCCCACCACTCGTAATAGGGAATGGGTGAATATTTTAGGCAAACAGCAAGCCGGCATATGTAAAACCTGGTCAAGCCACCTTTAGCTTGCAATCTATGCCACGTTTGAGGACGTGGTGTAGAGTTCGTGATTGAAAGACTAACGGCCTTATATCTGGTGCAGACCAATTACACTGCTGACAAGCAGCTCGCGGCCGAACAGATTTTCAATCTATTAGCCAGGAGGTCACCAGCTGGAGACCCTCAGTGTTCCGTGAAATTCACACTGTTGGTGATCACTACTAAGTGTGAAACAGCTGTACAGTGCTTTGGAGCTAGGTTTCCATCTAGTAAAACTCCCAAATCTCCTCACACCACTGAGGTCAAATGTCCCCTGGCACACGAATAGCAGGACCAAACCAGCGTAACTCGTGGAGTGTGACCAACTGATCCGAGGGGCGAGATAGCTCATTGGTAGGGGGCGAGATGGCTCATTATTAAGGAGCGAGATGGCCCAGTGGTAACAGCGCGAATTTGCTGACCGGAGGGTCAATGGTTCCAACCCGACCACTGCATCGCGACTTCCCCTGTCTAAGCTTGGGCAATTCACTCCTCGTGCTTCCTTCTGGTGGTATGGCAGATAGGCGCCGAAAGAGAGCAACCGCTGAAAGACCTATCGAGAGGAAGCAGAATTTCCACAATAACCATCTGAAGTACCTCAGCATTATTGAACTCGAGTTCGGTTGCGATCATACACGGACAATTCTTCGGAGGCACCAGCAATCATGCATAGACGGTCACCGAAGGTCTTTGGCACGGAGCGTCTAGGTCTTTCATCCACGAAGTAGGATGGATCGGATCGCGACACTGTGAAACATTCATACCGAAACCCGCACCAAACCGGTCGAAGTTATGAGCTGCCTCAGGCAAGAGGCTTTAGCCCAACGTGATTGGCCAGAAGAACGGACCGTCTGTCAGTCCAGCATCAATGCGGGCCCTAATTGGCTGAAAATGTGTACCCAACAGTCAAGCTGCTTAGTATTCGCACAATGGAATAGAATTTTGAAAGCTGACGTGTACCTGATGGACCAAGGAAATCGGACAACTGAGTTCGGAGTACCAGTTCAAAATTTTGAGCCACGTTTAGGTATTTTGGAGCGTTAGAGATGCTGGGAAATTATTCCACGAATATTTCCACCAGGAGTATGATTGCTTAAGTGACAACGAAATTCGGTTAGCTGCAAAAATATGAAGGTAGAATAAAAGTGTTTTTGGTTTGAGCACATGCACAGCAAAATGAAACATTTTGACTCAAAAATTTCTATTTGGCCACTAAGGGTTTTGCAGCCGGAAGTATTGTGCGGCTAATGAGCCTTCAAAAGCCGGTCATAATCCAGTCTCAACCGGATGCCGGTTGTCAATTGCGAATCCACAAGGCGTGGGAATTTCCAGAATGTTTCAGCCACATACCCACGCGCTGCAATTTTTTGGCGTTTAATGCAAGTTTTGCAAGTTTGGTAGTCCTTTTGACAAGAATGCTAATTTGGAAGGCTCAGGATTAGAACTGAGCCGGGACACCGCCGTTATCTTATAGCGCATGCTGCCAGATCCCTGATTCCAGCCAATCGCAACCACACACTGTTGGAAAAGGAATATTTGCCGATCGTGGTTGCCAACAAAAAGCTCCATGAAATGCCCTACGGCCGTAAGTCTCCTTTGCTCGGGTATTACTATACGCCCCTCAATGTTGTCTTTCGCTGAAAGAAGCTGATTTGGGTGTATAATGTAAACCGTATCCAGCAGTGGGCAACTGTTCTACTGAGAAACAGCTTAAATATAATGTAACACCCATCACCAGCCCCGGACGACCCGAAACACCGCCTCTTCTCGTTGACTCCAACAGGCCGGAAAGAGAAGACACTGCATTCTGAACCATTACTTCGGGGTCGGGGTAAACAACGTATACTCAGAGGCAGTTCGCACCGCCTCAGTGGCTGTCACTGCGGTCCGCCAGCCAACTGACCAAAACCTTGTGCTACATCAGGTCATAACTTGCCACAGAAGTCAGTGGCTGGGTAGCTGCCCACAAGACGGATTAACCCCATGCTTCTACCGACTGACGCATCTTCGCTAGCCAATTGAGGCCTTCTGATTTCTTAACGCCTGGTCATTACAAAGGAGTTACATTCAGGCTTTGTCTCCATGTGCGAATTATTGGCAGCCTACGGTCGTTTGCTTTTTGTTTGACTCCTACTGACTACCGTGAATTACTCTTGTTTATTATAATGCAGTTTTACTGTTTCCTGAACTTTTGTTTTCACCTAACGTTTGCTTTTATTACCTGCATGTTTTTTCTGCAATTTCACGTCAACTCCACCCATCTTGCTTACTCGCGGCGGTGGAAAAGCGTTTCACCCTCAGGTTGAACTCGGAACCTCTCGGATGAGAGGCCAGCTAGCTACCATTCGTGCCAACTCCAACTCCTAGAGGCCCCATACTTCGTATTACCCTCGTATCGCGTCATACTTGATAGTGCTTGGTTGTGCTTTATCATTATCGCGTCTAATCACGCAATTTGAATTGACAAGTGACAATCGCTCTTTGTCGCCATGAGGGGCCGATCATTAGACGCACCAAAAATTTCCCTGAAACAACAGATCTAACGGGAAAATATTTGCATAGATTTTTTTCATTTGACGGTACTTGTGGAAAACTCAAAGTCTCCCCAGCCAGTAGCAGTTTTGCTGGAATTTGTGTACGTGCGCTTGAGGTCCAATTTGACCACAGAGTCCACAATTTTGACAGACGCCGTGGCTCAATGTGAAGACCGCGTTTCTTGCAGCATCCTCATCTTGCTTCGCTGAAACCGAAATGATAGAACTATTCAACAACGTGGCCTGGCTAAGTGTAGGTTTATGACTGATGCTCTTCAACTCAGCGGGTATTCGTTGTAAATTACTTTTATTTGATATGGGACTCATATTTTTACACGCTCTTCTTTATTAGTGACAACCAGAATTCTGGTTGGTAATAATGGAATTATCGGTGGATTTTTGCAGCAAGCGGGTCGACAACAGTGCCTGCTGCCAGGCCATTTAATTGAATATGGTTAGTTGTGATCACGCTTTAACCGAAGTGCAAGCAAAACGCATTGGGCGCGTTGCAGCCGTGTTAACCGCACCTCAGCTTTGTGAATGCCACAGCGCTCAAGCACACTGCAAAAATCGTGTGCCGCTACAGAAGTCAGATTAATAGACATATATTCTTCAATCGCTCGAGTGGAGCGTATATTTCCCGGCCTAGAGGCCATAAATAATCTGACCAATCTGTGCACACGAACCCTTTGCTGTCTGAGGCACACACGCAGACGAATACGAAGCACGTTGCGGCACAGCTAACCTTGCGGAGCGAGAGGTAAGTACTAGTTTTTAGGCACTCTTTAGAACACGACGAAAGACGGTAGTTTAGATGTAAGTCGCTGCCACCGAAAAATTATGCCACCTTTTTGACGCCTACACAAACCTGACTTCAAAGCAAGGCCTGAATGTTTTGGCAACCGTGACGCATGTGTTTCTAGGAAATGTGAAGCCAATAGTTCATTCAATCTTTTCATTAATAGCATTTACAACACAAATGCAGAGGTCAGGAACCTGGATAAACACTTCTAAATGAAGACAACGAAAATGGGACATAATTAGTAACGGCCAACAATAGAACGGAGACCCATGGCCTTGTCTGCCTATCCTGCGCGCACGCAGGCTTTCACTGACACACAACGTTGAAAAGGCATGACGGTTTTACTATGTTTCGTTTCACTCAGCAAATTCAGCACTCTTAAATCTGGTTGTATTGTTCGA